GGTTACACTCTAGGCCAGGGGTCACCAACTTGGTGCCCACAGGCACCATGGTGCTCTCAGGAACTACATAGGGGCCTTTTCTCCAAATACAAGTCTAAGAAAAAACCTGCTGCCATGATTTTTGTTCACAAGTGCCTTAATATTGATTTAAAAACTACACATTAACATATGTTTATTAAACATGAAGTTTAGTTTAACTCTGATTTATTCTAGTTCAAAGGTCACTATCATATCAACCTAATAGCCCTTCGTGTGGCTCAATACCAATGAAGTAGCTCTCAGCTTCACAAAGGTTGGTGACCCCTGCTCTAGGCACTAATGAAATCACTCAGAACCTGGAGAAAGCTGAAGAACTAAGAGACTTGGATTAGTACAGATAAAAAGTCCACTTCCTGCTTTGTAGGCTGCTGAGTGGCCAACGCACTTCAATAGACCTAATTTGGTCTGTTTTAGGCCTCAGAGGAAAAGCAGAAGACCCAGGGGTGAACACTCTAAGGTGCTGCAGCTCAGGGTGCTGCTAGTCTGAATGATCTACGATGAATTGACTGCACCGCTCCTCTTTTCTATTCTTCACCATTTGTGTTTGTGTGTGTGTAGACACACTCAGGCGCGTGTGCATGTTTGCATTCTGCCTGTCTTGTGTGCATTTGCAGGAGCACGCTGGTGCGCAAGAGCTGCTCCCCGTCGTGTCGGCCGCGCCACTATGCCATCTGGAGAGGAAATCGAGTGTGAAGTACAGTATAGTTTGGGACCAAGCTCCCTGGCAGCGGCTCAGCAGTTAGTTCATTAGTTCCAAACTTCCAGGGATTAGGAGAGACTCTCTGCGGCAGGGAGGCAGGGGGGAGTCATGGAGGATGGAGGGACCCATGTGGGGAGAAGAGAAGGAGAAAGAGAAACACCAGGAGGAATACTGGACCAAAGGGCACTAAGAGACAGACACAGAACATGGGGGAGGGAGAGATACACAATGTTAGCCCTAAGGACACTGGGGTAGGGGATGGGGGGTGGGGAGGTGGGGGGCAGGAGGCGATGGAGAACAAGACGGTGAGGGAGAGAGGAGGAGAGAGGACAGGTGTAGCCGTCAGTTCCGCTCTGGGGTTTCAACCTGCCCTCCCTCTTCCTCCACCCCACTGATCATACAGCTATGATGATATGTGTAAGAGTGTTAGAGCAGTCAGCCTTGTCTTCCCTTCTCTCTCTCCTCCTCCTTCTCTCCCCTCCAGGTCCACAGTGGCAGTTAGCAAACTCTGGGAGGCACCTACCCTTTACTCCCTGATTTATCCCCCTAACTCTTAAGCTGTCACCATTTGGACAGAGTGCAAACACTTCTCCAGTTAAAGCAGCAAGTCATTAAACCAAACAAATCCAGATTTAGAGTTTTAAAGAAGTGGGGTACATTGATCTTCATTCATGAACTTTTTAAGTTGAGAACACTAAGAATACATTAGTGCTAATCAGACGATGCGACCAGCATTAAGTATTTAGGGCCTATCCATGCATACCCAGTACTGAACTCTTTCCTCACCTAGTCCATTGTGACCTTCACCAAAAGCAGCGCTTCAGGATGACATTTAAAAAGCCCAGTCTGTGTTGTTCTCTCATTAAAAGTGCATTATAAGACTTTGAGTCATTGTTGAGGCCTTGCATGGTTTGCCAAACCCACGGTGCGGGCTGTGTGGTTGTCATGGTGAATATAATTGCAGCAGTGCCATACACGGTAAAAACTGTCAGCGCAAACACACACGGTGGAATGGTTAAATCAGTTATCCATTTACTGAACAGCTGGTTCCGGAACATATCTTCGACTGATTTAATAAAAGACAATATAGGGTGTGTTTACAAAGCTTCCTGCTAATTGTTGTCACTGATACAAAATTTTAATAAGTAAATGTAAGATATACGGAATGTCTGACCTGAAACCTTTAGTCTTTGCAGTAAATTTATTTGGGTTAGCATTGCAACTAATATATCAAAGCCACAAATTACCATGACACAGCTATCACCAAAACATGGCTCCATGACTTGACTTGTTGTACGAAAAAAGGGTACGAAGAAAGGATACAGAAGGGAAAAACAGTAAGTGTTTTCTTTTCTTTAAAGGTGTGATTGACTGAAAAACCATTTGTAATGATTGTTTCTGATTATAATTAGTCACTTTGGACTTTTCATGCAGGCTGAACATGGAAACAGTCTCGTACACCTATCTCCTGAATTAGCTTCTGATAGAAAATAGACAATGAAACTGTAGGATTTGAAAATCCTCACACATCTATGTCACACTGTGAATTTGCATTCATGGCCTCGCCCACCTTGGTTCACACTCGCCCACAGGAAGGCTTTTTTTTTCTTTCTGTTTTTTTATGCGAGGAGAGAAAGCAGAGTGTCTTGGTGATAGTAGCTGCTCAACATGGCTGAAGGCGTTCTATTAGCCAATCAAGTGAGGTGTGTGCATGTAATTGATAATAATGAGTAATCACGTAGTTTTCAGCCCACCTCTGCACCAGCAAACTTCTGCATCTCAGAACAGGAGCTTCATGCCCCATCATGGGTCATCAGATTTCTTCCAGGATTGAGTTTTTTTCACAGTTTTATGCTATTTTATTGTTTTGATTAAGAAAAAAATATTCTTGACCTTTTCCTAAAGCAACAACACAGTAAAAAAGACCTCAGCATTTCAAAAGAAAAGCATGACTTAGCAGAAAAACAAAACCACTTTCAAACGATCACGTTAGATGAGTAACATACACTTTGAAAAAATGTGTGTGTAAACAGAAAATCTGACATTCATGGGCTCGACACACGGGAGGCGACATCGCCTCTCCTCCATTCATTTTCAATGAAACATGCGTGACAAAGCGATAATCGCGGGTCTCCCTCCTACCAAGCGAAACGCAAAAAACGTGCATGTGAATTTTTGCGCTTGTGCACATGTCGTGCACAGGCGACCCAACGACGCGATCCCAGAAAGTTGAAATATTTTCAACTTTTCATCGCTGTCGCTCGGACGAGGGCCAATCAACGGAGGTTTCATTCACTGACGAATGAGTGGGCAGGATGCTCCGTACATCTCCGAGCAAACATGGAAGAGAAGTTGATTATTATTATGTTTTATATAATAAAATCAGAAGTAAGACGGCTTTGCCGCTGGCCGCTGCCGCGGATCGCCTCCCGTGTGCCAGGTAATAAAAGCAACAAATTTCGCTGATCGCGGTGGTTTGTCGCCTCCCGTGTGTCGAGCCCATTAGTCAACATTTTAGCTGTTTTGCAGCCCAAAATGCATTTTCAATGAATATTTTAGGGGGCCTGAAATAATATTTTTATTTGAAAGGATTTCAAAGAGGAACAAAATTTGACTGCCAAAAAGCAACATTTGGAGCCAAGGAGTCGAGAACTCCAAAGCACTTTACGGTGCAATCCTTTATGCACACAGTCACACAATAAAGGTGCTGAGCTACAATGTAGGCACAGCTGCCCTGGGGCGGACTGGCAGAAGCCAGGCCACTGGGCCTTCTGACCACCAGCAGCAAGCAAGGGGGGTGAAGTGTATTTCCCAAGGACGTGACGACTGACACGACCAGAGCCCAGGTTCAAATGGGAAACCCACCAATTACAAGGCAAACTATTAACTACTGAGCCACCATTGTCCCAGTTAACCCAGTGTTGCCCCACACAGAGTCCTGGCATAGTTACTACAAGGTGTTCTTTTTAGGATTGTCAGAAACTCAGACAGAGACACATTAGCAAAGAAAAATTGTTCTTTTTTTTCTTATTAAAATGGGTTTCTAATTGCTGCAGAGGAGACAGAAACCAAGAGTTTGAAGTGAATAGGGGTGAATTTTGTCCCCCAGTAAGTTACTGTATGACACGGAAAAACGCATAACAGCTTACAAGATCATTGCACACTTTACTGAAAGCTACCGAGTCAAAGAGCGTCCCAACGTCCTGCTTAGCTACTGCCTGATCAAAAAAAGGAGATCACAATGGGAATATTAGATGGGGAACTATTGATGGACACTGCTATTTTGCCGGATTTATTGTTGGTGTTTTGACGTGCATTACTCAGAGAGCTTCAACTGGAAGTCAGAGTGGTAAGCCTGCTGAGGGACATTATTCTGCATTTTAAAGGAGTAGAACTACCCTGTAGCTAATGTGATTGTTACCTTCAATTGTAAAAGCACATACCAGGCTGGCAAGTGCAACCCACGAGCTAATTGCCGATGGAAAAAAAGGACCATTTCAGAAATGCTGGGGGAAAATGGATCATGCTATAATCAAAATCTACAATAATTTCTCACAAATTCAGTCACATATAGAGCAATTGGACACGAAGGTCAGTGAAAGAGGACAATAAAGTTGCTTGCAAAATGTTTTCAACAAGCGTCCAGCTTCTGGAATTTCCTTTCTAGTCCACTTGGCGCCTTCTGTGAAGCATTCCTCTCCACATTCCCCCCTTTCACGCATAATAAAGACAGAAGCTCTGACATCCACCACTGCCATCGTAGGGTAACAGCTTCAGCCTGTCACTCACACAGGCCATCATCTTATTGTCTTTGTCTACTACAGGAACAGCCTCCAGCTATATCAATCATCTTTACTATCGTGACTTAAAACCTTTGTTGGTTAACTTTTTGCCCGGACCCTTTCTTTATCCCACTCTCCAATCACAATTTCATGGGCAGTTCAGCTGGACCAATAGGGAGGCTGAGTGGGCAGGGGGAGAATGCTTTTAACCTGCTGCATCTGGTGCTTTCCCACTGCTAACCCAGTGGGACGTGGTCACCTTGCTTTAAAAGACTGATGAGTGGGGGAGCACCACCGCTTTTTGACAATCACAATGGGGTGAAATGTGCTCAATTTAAACATCTCACTTAGGTAGATTTCTTTTCAGTGATTAAGACCAAGCACCTGTCTGACAGAGGGGGATGAAATTAAAATCTCTCAGGGTTACAAAGCTGTGTTTGTGAACAGTATTTCATGTGGAAGTGGACACATTTTTATACCTTTTTGGTGAATGCCACTCCATCCTCGCAGTCCAACACGGCACAGTCGACATCCAGTGAGGCAAGTTTCTTCAATTTTCGTTCATCATTGCCAGGGCAGTAGAGAACTGCCCTACGGGGGATGTAGCGCAGCGAGGAGCCTGCAGAGTGATGGTGATGACGCCACGCTTCAGTATACAGCTGCCAGACTGCAGGCTGGAGCCAGTGGGTCCCCCTGTCAGCACAAATACATTCATAAACACCACATGGGCATACGCACAAATATACAAACACTAGTTAACATTGATACCTTGACTGTAGGAGCAAACATATTTAATGCACTGGTATCCTTCAGCAAACAATGTCGGTACTGGGCTCAGGGCAATGAATAATTAAAGGTTGTTGCTGCATAATCTCTTCACCATTCGTATTACAGATCCTGGCGGAAGTAGTTTCTGCACTAGAAAGTCTTAAAATTTTAAATTCAGTTAATCTTTCAGCTGTTTTATTAAGTGGATGAGAAACAGTTTTTCCATCATTGCCGTTCGTGTGGTAGACCACGGGAACTACAAAAGTTAGTTTTTAATGGGTTCTACGAAAAAAATGAACAAATAACTGATTTGTGAGAGCAACTTTTGAGCATTACCGTAACATGTTTTTCCCCCTTAAATGCTTCATTTACAATTCCTGTAATTGATCATGTGGCCCTTTTTGTTGTTGCTAAGGCTGATTAGCTGTGTGGGTCACCTTAAATTGATTAGACTCAGACTAACGCTGGGCGACATGGCCTAAAATCAGTATCACGGTATATTGAGGAGTTCACCTTGATAACTGGACAATAATTACATGTATGCACAAAAACAAAAGGACTGTGTATTAGTTGAGTCACGTTTTCATGTGACTCGAGGTGGTACAGCTTCTTAAAGGGACATGAATGTTGCCAACCCATACACATCTTTCCATTTTGTTATTACTAAATTTATTGACATGGGGAAAATCATTTTGGAAAATCAGAAAATTTGATAATCTATATTCATATTCCTTTTGAAATAAAACATCACAATATTGTCTGGCTGGGCTATGTTATTCTCTTCTTACTATCAGAAAAGGTTCCCTATAAAAAAAAAAAGTTGATTTTCACTTCTTCAACAATCCCGCACAAATCAACAAAAACTCAAGCCTGTTTAAAAAAAACAATGTTGCCAATTTCCCACAAAGCTGAGCCGACATCAGGGAGCCTTTGGTCCTTCATCAGTGGTCAGAATGTGGCGGTGACGATCATGGGATTTTCACAAAAGATTAAGCGATGGCGGTTTAAAGGGGTGTGGGGGCGGTCTCTGCACTATCACGGACTGGCTTTTAGCTCAGACATAACTTGTTTTTATTGCGACTGAAGCTTCACACCTTAAGGTTTTTGTCCTCCAAATTTCCCTTGAACTGTCTTGTGATCTGAGATTCAGCTCTAACTGAGAGAAGCTCCCAGAGTTCTGCAACTCTTCAGTTTGCCATCTAAGCTGATTCTGTTTACAAACGTGAAACTTACCACCTGTGTTTACTTTAATTTTTACTTAGAAATTTTACTTAAATTTTCAATACTTTATTTTCAACACGTGATCAGGGCACCGCCCTCTGCTGCACCAAGGCGTAATCTTCATTCGCCAGTCCGACATTGCGGTTGGCAGCATAAAAAGCCGCAAAATTCCCAGATCGTCATGCTGTCAAGGCGCTTTCACGGGGCACACCATGACAGCAGTATTGCGCTGATTTGCCAGCATGGTGTGTCTTATGAAAGCATAGTGGGATTTCATTAAGCCAAATGTCTATGTTCATGCAGCCATTGGTTAAGACATACCTTTGGATTTGTTTGTTGCAACCTTTATACATTAAATGGAACATGGAACACGAACACCAAAGCGACATCTAGTGTGTGGAGGTTGTAGCTGCAACCACAGAACAAGGTTTCAAGCCTTTGGAATACCAGGTTCTCTGCTGATACTGTGCCATCTTTCTAGAGGCAGATTTTTTAGCCAATTTCAATTTTTTCTACATCGGCCATCGGTGTAAATTATGTTTAAAAGTCGAAAAAAACAAATATATCAGGCACCTGTGTGGCCAACTTCAAGCACAGTTCTAGCATAGAACCTTTCTTTTACTTACATCATTTAATGCTGAGTTAAAGCAAAACTAACTGCTTCCAGATGAGGAGAATGACTGATCTTGTTAGCTACAAAATCCTTTTTCTCACTCATCTAATGCTGAGAAATCAAACAGGAGATAAAATTTTACTTTTGAGTGGAATATCTCTTTAAGTTTGGTGTTTAATATGTGCACTATATTTCATGTATAGTTTAGATTAATTTTTTTACTATGTACAATGTGGTGGCGTGCTTTACTTTGTCTTTTTTTTTTACTTGTAGATTCTACCTCAACCAGCCACTATTTTGCGCCGTTATTCTGGGTAATGGGTAACCCTAACCCTAAACACTTAAAAGAAACTTGAATCAGTTTTATTTTCTATTGTTCTGAAACAGTTTGCACATTGTTCAAGTTCTGAGTTTGTTTTATATTTGAAGTTCAATAAATATTGAGATTATTGGCTTATTCAAATTATTGCACACAGTGAGTAAGTTCAATCAATGTGTGTGTGTACACACACACACACACACACACACACACACACACACACACACACACACACACACACACACACACACACACTGCTCACAAGAATTAAAGAAGCACTTTTTTATTGGGCCTGGCATGACATCAATTAAACCTGTCTGATAATTTCCTGGCTAATTAAGCAGCTGAGGGCTTGTTGATCACTTTCAGCTGTATTGGTGTTCATGGACTTAATGACAGGTGCACTAAAGTGGCAACAATTACAAAACCCTCAAAACAGGACTGGTTTAACATGTAGAGGTCATTTCAAGTTTCTCCCTCTTGATCTTTTTCAGCTGGTTTTCCACTCATGCTAGTTTTGGCTCTCTACTGGCAGTGTGAGGCGATTCCTTAATCCCACAGAAGTTACACAGGTTGTCCAACTTCTCCAGGATGGCACATCCACATGTGCTGCAGCAAGAAGGCTTAATGTGTCTCCCAGCACAATCTCCAGAACATGGAGGAGATTTCAGGAGACTGGCGGTTATTCTCGGAGAGCTGGACAGGGCCGTAGAAGGTCCACAACCCACCAGCAGGACCGATACCTGCTCCTTTGTGCAAGGCGGAAAAGGCTGAGCACTGCTCGTGCCCTACAGAATGACCTCCAGAGGGCCACTGGTGTGAATGTCTCTACCCAAACAATCAGGAACAGACTTCATGAAGATGGCCTGAGGGCCCGACGTCCTGTAGTGGGCCCTGTGCTCACTTCCCAGCACCGTAGAGCTCGACTGGCATTTGCTCAAGAACACCAGAATTGGCAAGTCCGCCACTGGTGCCCTGTACTTTTTACAGACGAGAGCAGGTTCACCCTGAGCACCTGTGATAGACGTGAAAGAGTCTGGAGAAGACAAGGAGAACGCTATGCTGCCTGCAACGTCGTTCAATATAACAGGTTTGATGGTGGGTCAGTGATGGTCATATCCATGGAGGGACACACAGACCTCTACTGCCTAGGAAATGGTGCTCTGACTGCCACAAGGTATCGAGATGAAATCCTTGAACCCTTTGTCAGACCCTACGCTGATGCAGTAGGTCCTGGTTTTCTCCTAATGCACGGCATTGCCGGGCCTCATGTGGCAAGAGTATGCAGGCAGTACCTGGAGGATGAAGGAATTGAAACAATTGAATGGCTTTCACGATCCCCTGACTTAAACCCAATAGAACATCTGTGGGACATTATGTTTCGGTCCATTAGGTGGCACCAGGTTGCTCCTTAGACTGTACAAGAGCTCAGGGATGCCCTCACACAGATCTGGGAGGAAATGCCACAAGACACCATCCGTTGTCTCATTAGGAGCATGCCCCGACGTTGTCAAGCATGCACACAAGCTCGTGGGGGCCACACAAGATACTGAAAAGCAATTTGAGTTGCAGAAATTAAGTTTTTGAAATAACGGACTAGCCTGCCACATCTTCATTTCACTCCGATTTTAGGTTTCTACACAATTGAGCCCTCTGTAGGCTGATAACTTTTATTTCCATTAAAAGACTCGGCATCCTTTTGTTGTTATTTGTCCAACTTCATATTGAGATCTGATGTGTTTCTTTAAAGTGTTCCTTTAATTTTTGTGAGCATATATAGTACAGGCCAAACGTTTGGAAACACCTTCTTATTCAGTGTTTTCTTTATTTTCATGACCATGACCATTTAAAAAGGAGCCAACAAGTGCTAAAAACCTCTGAGAAGTCCTTCAAGACTGTTGGAAAACAATTTCAGGTTACTACCTCTTGAAGCTCATCAAGAGAATGACAAGAGTGTGCAAAGCAGTAATCAGAGCAAAGGGTGGCTATTTTGAAGAAATTAAAATATAAAAGATGTTTTCACCTTTTTTGCTTAAGTACATAACTCCACATGTGTTCATTCATATTTTTGATGCCTTCAGTGAGCATCTACCAATGTAAATGATCATGAAAATGAAAACAATGAATGAGAAGGTGTGTCCAAACTTTTGGACTGTGCTGCATATACCGTATATCTGCCTTAATAATCGGCTTTAGATATTGTCCATCGGCATCAATGTTCTTTAAAAATTGGTATCGGCATCGGCCTTAAAAATAAATAAATAAATAAATAAATCAGTCGGCCTCTACTTCTTTCTGCACACCTCTAAAAGCCCCTTGGAGATACTATTTAAAACAATGATAGATTTTTATTAAATTGTTCCATATTCAATCTTTAAATATAATGGGGCATGGTGAATAATTTTTTGTTGAGCATAATTTATCCCAAATAACAGCAAGAAAGAGGATTTCCCACCACTAACCCTCTCAGGTTATCTGAAGTCCTTGTATAGTGTCCTTCTTTGTCTGGCAAAAGAAAGCAAGCAAGAGAGAAGATATCTGCTAAATGAGTTATTCTCTCGTCTTGTTTTTTGCTCTCTAAAGGAGCTTAAGTGACTTCAATAGCCACTTAATCCTGTCAACTACGCTTCCACGTGCCCTCAAGTCCCAATAAGGCCTAATCTACACAGAATTGTTGCATTTGTAGCAGGTAGTTAAAGCCAATTCAGAATACTTCAAGCAATTTAGAGCTTCCAGGCACTGAGACTACTTACAAAATGCATGAGCAGAAAG